AATAGTCTCTTGAGTGAGATCCATCCTGAATAAGACTACATTATATATGTTAATAAATTTGATTATAAATCTCCACTATGTGTTAACATACAACAAATAAAAAATATTAAAATGGAGTTTTATAGAGTAAAATAATGAAACCAACAGTAAATAAAATTAATCTCCACTGTGCAGTAACATCTCACATAACAAAATTAACAAAATTAAAGTAATATGGAGTGAATTTTGAGGTTTATAAAGTAAAATGACAATTTTAAGTTTCAAGGAGCAAAATGGGATCCAAAATAGAGTCTCAAGGGGCAAAGTTGAGCGAATTTTGAATTTTAGAAGTAAAGTTGCGACTTTTGAGTTACAATAACATAGTAAGATTAAAATCAAACTCCACTGGGCGTAGCTAAAAACTAAGTCTAAAACCCAAATCTGGAAAATTTCTCTTTCGTATTTCTCAAGCCTGTGAAATTAGTATTGATGGCATGGCATGGGAGAAAATATAACAAAATTGCCCTCTGTTTAAAGGAGAAAATATTTTGTTGCAAATAAACATAGGCCTAGTGTAAGTTAGAAAATTTATTGTGAAGGTGCTACCATATGGTTTTCTTTTGGTATACTAGAAGATGAGAAATTATAATTATATACATATAAAATTTGAGAATTGTTATTGGCACTCCAAAAATCTTATTTTGCACTTCAAACTTACTATAATTAGAAAGAAATATACATTTGTGAGGAGCGTAGAATGAGATTTTTGTAGTGCTAATAACAATTCCCTAAAATAACAATTCCCTAAACTTTATTCAACAACATTAAATTTTTTTTGTGAACATGCTACGAAAACATAAGGAAATTATACATTTCTCTACTCACATGGATTGTCAAATCTCACTAATGTGTATCATACGTCCATTGATAAATTAAACCCGTTTGCATGAATAATGGGTTAACGATAAATGACAAAGTTGGAAATTTCTTGTGAAAATACCATAGTATAATTTTCTATCATTTTAGTAGAATATGCACAAAAATGGGGGTTATGGGAAAGTATATTTGTTTTAGCTAATATGATTAGCCTATTTTATTAGGCAATTTTTTTTTAATTATTCTGAGTGAATTCATAGGCTTAATGTAAGTTTTTTTTTTTTTTGTTTTTTGGTTTTTTTTTTGTAGAATAGGCACAAAACTTGTACTAGAAGATGAGAAAATATTATACTTATATACATTAAGATCTTGCCCTAGCGCTAGATCTTAAAAACTTACTTTCAATTTTTCATCCTTCTTACCCTTATACAATTGTTATGTGTTGTTTCCATTATCAAGATGGATGGAAAATTGGATGAAATTTTTAAAAATCTAACGCTAGGAGGAATATTGGCTAATTATAAAAGTTCAAGAGCGTAACTGGCTAAAATTAAAGTTCATGGGAAAATTGGCAGCTCCATACAAATTCAGATGGCAAATCGACAAATATGCCTCTTTTTATTGAAAATATCAACTATCTTTCTAATGCACAATTATTTGTTATAGTTTATACAAAAAGCACCTCCTCATTTACCTAATTGTCATGCTCTAATTGATTCTTAGCTATGAAATTTTTAGTGTCCCTCCCATTACAATTTACAATGCCAAGTCGTTTTCTTTTTTTTAGTAATGACATACTCTAATTGATTATTAGTTGTGACAATTCAGTTGTGCCTTCTTCTTCTGTTACAAGGTATTAAATTTGTGTATTTTTTTTAATGTATAATGGATGTTATTAATTCTCTATAGTATTGAATTTGATTATTTTCTTCTGAAGTATATTGTTATTCATCATCTACAACTTGTCAATGACTTCTATGTTGTTTAGAAGTCGATAACCAATCAATTCCTCTAGATTTGGCAATGCATCTAGACTATATGTGAACAGTTCTGTATACATGACCCGTTGACGTTAGTATAGATACCACATAAACTTACCCACAAAAAGATTAACACCTGATCCCGTGACATGAAAGTTCTTATCTTACGGAAACTCTTCAACCTTGTGGTATTGCATTTATTTTGGGAGAGCATGAATCAGATTGCGGTGTTGAATTACAGAAACAGATTTCTAAACAAAAAAGTCAAGAAACTGTACAAACAGATTGAATCTGAAACTATGTTATGTAAGAATGAATAAAGCCTCTTCTCTGTCAAAACCAATAATACTCAAATTAACAATAAGTCTTAGTTCACTATTCAGCGTATGTTTTGTGAGAGCAGAGGCTGCTATTTATACACAATCAATCCATGTAATTCTCCTTTTAGAATCCTTACTCAATACTGAATAAGTTACCTTATTGTATAAAATGTGTCAAAACCAGTTTTCATACTTTCATTCAATCCTTCACAAATAAGGATTACGTATATCTCTTTACATTGGGACTTTTCTATACGAATCTGAAACAAATAGCAGGCCTTAGGACTCTTGGTCATGATCATATTCTTATATTGATACAATACAGAGCTAATTTCAAAATCACAAATACTCAATCTGCACCTTTGCAACATTGTGAACCAACTGATTAAAGACACTCAAAACAAGTTTACTCCCACTTTTGAAGCCAAAACATTTAACATCAACACATAATACTAAATCGTAATCATCTCAATATTCAAACCACTTGAATAACATGATTCATAATCCAAGTAATTACTTAAACCAAAATCTAGAAAGATAATAAGTAATACTATGAACAGCACTTTATAATTCCACCAACTGCTTTATCAAATCAAAAACTGACTTTAAAGCATTATAAGAACCATAAAACAAAATTTGTCTTCTAGAACGATTAATCATAGATAATCTGGAAACATTGAACCCAAATGAAAACATTCAATTATTCAAAACTAGCTAAAACATAAAACTAGTTGAAACAAAATAATTGAAGCAAAACTAACTAGTAACTCAACTTATAAACCTACAAAAATGTCATCACCTTCAATACTTCTGTACCAGCAACTACTCTCACTGATCAAAAGATTCCAGCACTCCCATTCGAGTAACATGAGCTTTGAAAACTCCAAATGGTAAAGCTTTAGTCAAGGGATTTGCAACCATGAGATTTGTATTCAGATGTTGTACTTCTATAGCTCCTTCCTTCACCATTTCTCGAACTTTCAGACATTTTACATCCATCAGTCTACTAGCAGAAGTCCTCTTATGTTTTTAGAGAAAAACACAGCTGAAATATTGTCACAAAACATCTTCATCGGTTTTTGAATTGAATCCATTATCTTCAACTCACTTATGAAATTCCTGAGCCAAATAGCTTGCTTGCTGCCTTCAAAACATGCTACAAATTCTGCTTCCATGGTAGATGTTGTTATAATAGACTGCTTAGAACTCTTCCATGAAATAGCTCCACCTCCAAGCATAAAGACATAGCCTCCAGTGGATTTTCTTTTATCCAAGTCTCCAGCCAAATCTGAATCAGTATATCCAGTGACTTCCAGTTGTGGATGCTATACACGAGCATGAAAGACTTGGTCCGTTGCAAATATCTCAGTACCTTCTTTGCCGCAGTCCAATGAGCTTCACCAGGATTTGATTGAAACCTAGCCAAGATGCCAACAATGAAGGCAATATCAGGTCTTGTACAAACATTTGCATACATCAAACTACCCACCAACGAGGCATAAGGTTTGTCTCTCATATTTTTCACTTCAATTTCACTCTTAGGACATTGTGCTCTAGTGAATTTATCACCTTTGTTGACAAGAACGTGGCCTCCATTGCAATGCTCCATGTTAAACTGAGCTAGCACTGTATCAATATAGCCATTCTGAGATAAACCCAAAAGTCTCTGCCTTCTGTCTCTCACAATCTCTATTCCAAGAACATAGTGAGCTTCACCAAGGTCCTTCATATCAAAATTAACACTAAGCATGGACTAAGTGTTCTGCAATAATTGAGAACTAGAACTGGCCAGTAATATGTCATCGACATATAGCACCAAAATTATGAAGTTTGATCCACTGAACTTGAGATAGATGCAGTCGTCTAACTTATTTTCAGTGAAACCATGAGCTGTAACCACTTGATCAAATTTGAGATACCATTGCCTTGAAGCTTGTTTGAGACCATAAATTGACTTATTTAATTTACAAACCATATCTTCCTTCCCCCTTTCAACAAATCCAATTGGCTGCCTCATATAAATATATTCTTGTAGCTCTCCATTAAGGAAGGCCGTCTTGACATCCATCTGATGCAGCTCCGAATCGAAATGTGCAGTCAAAGCCATTATGACCCTCATGGAATCTTTTGATGAAACAGGTGAAAAAGTATCGTTGTAGTCTATACCTTCTCTTTGAGTGAACGCTTTTGCAACTAATCGAGCCTTGTATTTTTCAATTCTACCTTGAGAGTCTCGTTTGGTTTTATAAACCCACTTACAACCTATAGGCTTGATTTTGGAACTAGATTCAACCAATGTCCAGACTTTGATTTTGCTCATCGATTCTAATTCCTCCTTCATTGCATTGACCCATAAGATTGATTGTGAGCTCTCTATAGCTTGATTGTAGGTGATGGGTTCATCAATATTACCTATGTTACTCAAATTCTTGCAAATAGACATAATCATTTGATATGGCCGACTTCTTTGTTCTTGTCGATTTTTTTAATTCAGGTTCAGCTCGAGGTGCTTCTGAACTTTCAATTTGCTGTTGTGTTTGCACAACATGATCTTCCAACCGAGTCTGATCAGATGTAGTTTCTGTTTCAAGTTCACAATCTGCCATTTGATGATCTTCTTCTTCATTTGGACTAATCTTTGGAAGGAATTTGGGAAGAATAATGTAATTTTTTGCAGGAGAGACGTATTCATCCGAGATTTATTCCTCAAAATTAAATTCATCTTGATTCAAATCTGCCACATCTTGGTCTTCTAAAAAAACAGCATTGTGTGACTCTTGAATTCTCGAATGAGCTTGTGGATCATAAAACTTGAACCCCTTGGACTTTTCGCAGTAGCCAACAAAATAGCAAGACTGAGTTCTTGCATCTAATTTCTTCTCATGTGGATTATAGAACCTTGCTTCAGCCTTGCAGCCCCAAACATGAAAATAATCGAAATTTGGTTTTCTTCCAGTCCAAATTTCAAAAGGGATTTGTGAAACAGCTTTGGTTGGCACCCTGTTGAGTATATAAGTTGCTATTTTGAGTACTTCTCCCCATAAGAATGCTGGAAGTTTAGCTCTAGACACCATGCTCCTCACCATCCCAATCAAAGTTCTGTTCCTTCTTTCTGAGACTCCGTTCTGCTGTGGCGTTCCAGGCTTCGTATATTGTGCCACGATGCCATGTTTCTTCAGATGAAGAGCAAAAGGTCATTTCTGTTGACCTGCCTCAGTATGCCTGCCAAAATACTCTCCTCCCCTATCCGATCTAACAATCTTAATAGTTCTATTTAATTGTTTCTCAACCTCAGTTTTAAAAATTATGAAGTAACTAAGGACGATTGATTTTTCACTAATCAGATAAGTAAAACTGAATCTAGAGAAGTCATCAATAAAATTCACAAAATAGTTGTTCCCACATATAGTTTTAACTGGAAAAGGACCACATAAATCAGTGTGTATGATTTCAAGTAGATATTGACTCCTCCTAGCTTCTAGTTTTCTAGTATTAGTCAATTTCCCTTTTAAACAATCAACACATTCACTTTTGGTTTGAAAATCAAATGAGGGAATCAAATTGGATTTAGATAATTGTAAAATTCTCTCTTTCGAAATGTGTCTAAACCTTTTATGCCACAAAATGTAAGAATATTCAAAATCATGCATCCTTGTGGTGTTTACATTTAAAACATTGCACAGAATCATTTTCAAGAGAACAATCCAATTGCCAAAGTTTTTCATGTAAATAAGCTTTTCCCAAAACTAAGTCTAAATTATTCTTTTGAAAAAACTTTATACCCTCATTATCCCCAAGAAAAACCAAATTCTGTTTAGTTAGTTTTGATGCAGAAACCAGGTTCCATGTCATTGTAGGCACAAAAAGTACATCACTTAGTTCAAGTATAAAACCAGAAGATAATTTCAGTTTCACTTTCCTTGTAGCTTCTACAGAAACCTTAGTCCCTTCCCCAACAAAAACACTATGATTCATTTTATTTGTTTCTTTTTGTTTTTCAAAACCATGCAATGAGTTGACATGAACTGATGCACCAGTATCAAACCCCCAACCAAATTAGACTCCTCACAGACATAGACATCGGTATTACCCTTACTCCTCAGCCAATCCTTAAAAGCTTCACAATATTTTCTATAATGACCTTTGGTTTTGCTAAAGAAACATTTAAGCTTAGTTATATCTTTAATTTTAACTTTAAGATTGACAGATTTCTTAGAGGTTTCAGCATTTTTAGCAGGCATACCAGATTTAGAGACATTATCACAAGACTTAGAGTTCTTACTTGGATTAAATCCGCCACCCTTCTTGCTCTTTCCTTTGGATGCATGTACAAGGTTCACTGCTTCAATTTCCTTGCCCTTGTCTTGCTTCAATCTTCTCTCTTCTTGGACACATTGAGCCATGAGCTCATCCAGTGTCCAGAGATTCCCTTGAGTGTTATATGAGACTTTCAGCTGACAATATTTAGCAGGGAGTGCTTGAAGCACCATAAAAACCAATTGAGTCTCTGAAATATGTACATCCATTGAGTTGAGTTTCTCAGCAGCATCTGAGAGTTTCAGAATGTGATCCCCAATTGAGCCATTACCCTCACACTTGTAAGTTGTCAAGAGTGACATTTAGTGCCCAATTTCAGCCTTTTGTCGTTCCTGGAACTTCCCCTCAATAGCCTTGAAGTAATCAACAGCAAGGTCATGTTGTTTGATACCTCCTCTAACATGATCAGTCATGCCAGCCTCCAGAATAGATAATGCCAATTTATTTGATCTCCACCACCTCTTGTGCTCTGCTTTCTCAGCCTTGGAACATTTGTCAGTCAATAATGGGGGTTGTAGATTGTCAATTGCAATTTCAAATTCATTGAGTGTCAGTAGCAACTTGATCTCGCGTCTCCACTTCTTGAAATTACTTCCACCAGTGAGAATCGGAACACTTGCCAAATTCAAGGTTTTCAGTGAAACTGCAGCAGATCATAATGAAATCAGTAAACATGAACCAATAGGTTCTTGATTTCTCTACTACTAGTTAAACTTTAAAGGACAAAATTTGAACCAATTTGACCATATATGTAGTCTTAATGATAAAGGATACACATAGATCAAACAATTCAAAAAACTGTCCACTTTTCGGAATATGCATCAATAGATAGTTCAATACTTATCACACATAATTCCATTTGATTAACAGATAATACAATCTTCAAAAAAAAAAAAAAAAAAAAATATGCAGTATATAACATGCATACATTTTTGACATTGCACTTGTAGAGTTTTTGGCCCATCAAGCAAAACCAATCAATTATTGGAGATGTCTGGATGCAATAATTTAAGTCATCTTAATTAAACTAGATAATTGAGACTTCAACTTTTAGCAACATCTTATAAAATTAAAGAATCACACGATAACATGGGGATCATAATTAACATAAATGCATTTTAAATCCAATTCGTACAAGTCTGTTGAGTTTGTATTGCTTCTGAATCTCATATAGTATCTATTAGAATAAGGCACTTCAGATTCAAAATCATGGAGAAGTGCAGTAAACAAAAATTTCACTTTCTCATGAATCAGCAAAGATTGAATTAGACGAAAACGAAACACATACCAGTAAGAATCCAGATTGAAAACGAAATAGTGCAGCGAAAGTAATGAATTATTTATAATCTAGATTGACTGCTCTTTATGAACCCCAATTTTCTGAACCCCAATTCGAAACGACGGCAATTTTATTATACCAAACAAACATTAACTTTGTTTTTCATAGAGACAGCTCCTAGGTTCGAAACCTTTAGGGGCCCTTTTTTTATTTTTTTATTTTTTTTTCTTCGAGTTTTTAACTAAAACTTGGGCACTGATACCACATGTAAGAATGAATAAAGCCTCCTAGAGATCTTAGTCAAGTTAAATAAACCACGAATAACCAAAACAATTAACATACTGCAAGTATGAAATATAAAGTAACCTGCAGCAGCAGTAGAAGATGAAGCCATGATCAAACAATTAGCAGATCTTCTCCTCTCTGTCAAAACCAATAATACTCAAACTAACAATAGGTCTTAGTTCAATATTGAACGTACGTTTTGTGAGAGCAAAGGCTACTATCTATACACAATCAATCCATGTAATTCTCCTATTGGAATACTTATTCAATACTGAATAAATTACCTTATTGTATACAAAGTGTTAAAACCAGTTTTCATACTTTATTCAATCCTTCACAAATAAGGATTAAGTACATCTCTTTACATTGGGACTTTTCTATACGAATCTGAAACAAACAGCAGGCCTTAGGACTTATGGTCATGATCATATTCTTACATGTTACAGTAGAGTTTAAAAGTTTCATTAAAAACACAAACCAACACAGAGGTTGAAGAGCAACGTTCACTGAGGAAACACATCAGAACTGAGTCTTGTGGAGCCAATTTAGGTTCATATTCTCTTTGGCCACAATTATCCTTACGTTCTTGAGATACAACGAGAAGGGTTCCCATAAATATTTTGTTTCTTCATCACAGACCACTTCCTCTAACTGCTCAAGACCCAGGACTGATGGAGGCAGCTCTTGCAACCTCGAGCATTGTCTCATGTTGATCTTTCTTAAACTACTCATTTCACCAATGTCTTCGGGCAACACCTTGATGCTGAAGCAATCAGATATGTCAAGAAAGTTTACCTTTCCAAGGTACTTAATCGAGGTTGGAAGCTTCGACAGTTCTGTGCAGGATCTTAGCCTCAACATTTCTAAATTTTCCAAATTTCCAATCCCTTCAGGCAAGGCAGATAGCTTATGACAGTTAGTGACACTGAGCTTCTGTAATTTAATAAGATCACAAACCTCGGAGGGCAATTCAATTAAATCACTGCAATAGTCGATGTTCATTTCCTCTAGATTCGGGAATGCTGATGAGATTGAGATGGCACAGTTGTTGAATGCTTGACCGATGTTACACATGAACAAGGATATCTTCTTCAGACCCGCCAAATGTATGGGATTCTTGGTTATGGAAGGAATTGAGATGCGTTCTAATCTGATTCTCTTAAGATTTGGTAATGAACTCAAAAGTTGAAAGTTACTCAATTCAGCAGGTAAGAAACCATAATTTGTGACTATCACAGCCTTCAATTCATCCATGTTCACCACGGAGTTAGGTAAGGCATAGTTCTTTGTCTGGAAATTCAACACTAAAACCTCAACTTCTGGCATTTGCATGTCGTGCCATTTTGTAGAAAACCCTTCATCTGCAAAGTAACAACTGTGAGTGTCGGGAGGAGAAACTAAAATGAAAGTACTATAAAGACTAAATACGCACGGGCGTGCATGTGTAAGAATGACTATTTATTTGTGTGCGTCTACATAATTGCTAAAGAGAAAGGGTGCGATGGAACAACCAGTTGTTATGGATAATAAGCGGGCCTTCATCGGCTGATGCTTCTGTTCTCTCCACCATTTTGGAAGATTGTCTCCACATATGTCAATAATCAGTCTTTTTCTATGTTCTACCGGTCCTGTTTTTGAGTTGTAGATAGCCAGCTCCCTAAGAACATCATGCTGGGTAACAAAGTGCTCACTATAGTACCAGTCCCCCTCCGTCTTGTCCTTCCTGGTGATGATCAAAACTAATTTTCTTAGAAGAGATTTCTTCAACCAACATATTGCAATAACAAGTTATCAACATCAACAAGTCGTGAATACAAAGGGGAAAATTGAGCGAAAATATCGTACAAGAGAAAAGAAAGTATGCACTCTATACCTTGTAACAACAAGATTAGCTAGACTTCGTTTGGTTAGCTCGTAGAGGTTTGCAATGCACTCTATATCTGTATCCACATCATATAACTCTGCCCAGATATCAATGAGGGCAGCAGCAGGGATTCTTTGGTCTTCAGGAAATGAACCTAAGTCTAAGAAACATTCCTTGATGATTTCTTTATCAACGGCATCCAAGCTTCTTTCAAGGCAGAGCAGCAATTCAGTCTCTGAATCAAGAATAGAAAATCCTTTAGACCATTCAAGTTCTCTTTTTTGCCATATCTCAATAGGCTCCCCGCAAAGCGATCTCCCCACCACTGTAATAGCAAGTGGAAATCCCTTGCAACGCTCAACTATCTGCAGGATAATTTTCCAGAACAAAGTTAACTACCTTTTAAGTTGCAGAGCCAAAATTCAAGTTACTAAGATGAGAAAATGGTTAAATAACTATATACAGTATTCTAATTTTAGTTTTAGTCCACAAGTAAGTATGCTTAGATGCATGAGTACTCACAGGTTTATATGGTAAATGGATGTGTTCATTCACTCGATTGTGGATGCTTTGAGTAAAGTGAACATAATTTGTTCATAATTTTCAAAACCAAGTCAACTAATTTTTCACTATACATGTTGTGCATTTCAACTAAAAAGTACCTTTTCTGGAAGATCTTTTGGAATATGAGAGCTCTTATCTCCAAGGGATGCTGAATGATGAAAAAGTTTCATCGCATTGTCATGATCCAATGATTGCAAATAATAAGGGGAACCATATCCCCGAAATTCAGACCTAGATGTCACCAAAAACTTGTAATTTTCCGTTTTGAATTCATCAAACTTCTCCACAAGGGATTCTGATCCAGACCAAACATCATCCAGGACAATCAGTAAAGGATTCTGCCCTTCTTCCTTCAGAAAACGTTGCAGCAACGTCACTACACTGCCTTCGTTTTGGAAAGTAGGTGCCGGTAAACCCTTGCGTTGATATAAATCTTGAACAATATTTTCCAATTTAGGCTTTTTTGAAACCGTGACGAAGAAGATATTATCCTTGAATGTATCTATCCAATGAAAACATAATGAATCAGTCATTGAGGTATCATTTAAATCTGCCATAATTGTACAAAGACAAAAAATATAAACAATTCCGAGAGCTAACTCATAATATATGATACCTTTGACATCCTTGTCTTGACAAAACTTTGTAGCCAAAGTGGTTTTTCCACATCCTCCGGGAGCAGTCAGCACAACCATTGAAACATTTTCGTCCTTCAGAAGCTTCCTCTTCAATTCCTTCAGAGGAAAATCCAATCCAACCACTAGCGGGGGAAGTTCAGGTACTGCACACCAAGCTTCACTGTCGGTTTGTCTTGGTATCCCCATATTCGATTCAATTCTGCTGACCAGCTTCTCTATATTCTTCACCGAAACTGTGGTGTCCTTCACATCCCTTATTCCCTGAACGTTTAGTATTTCCAGAAATCGTTGAAGAGATTTATCCCATCCAATCAGCTTATTGGCGTATTTGTACCTTTTGTATACGATCCACCATCGAATCTTTTTGCACTTTCGAAGGAGCTCTATGCCCTTCTCCAAATGCGCTTTTAAGTTTTTCAGTTCCACAACCGGAAGATCCAATTTCTTGTTGGATTCTTCTATATCTTTCAACAATGGTTCCAAAGAGTCTAACCTGAATTTGATGTTTTTGAGTAGGGGCTTAAACACTAGATTCTTGGCGATCACCTCCTCGAGGCCCTCATACAGCGCATTGAATAGTGTTCCGAGACCAGCCCCTCCGAAAAGGTCATCTGCTCCACCCATTCCTTGATTCTTAACAACAAAAACCAACACCAAAATCAGAAAAACTTACAAAAGTTTCATTCTAAAATTTACGACAACAGAAAAATAACAGGGAAATTGGCAGAAATGATCATTTTTCACCCAATAGCTGAATGATCAGTTCTTCAGTATATCGTCGATATTTGATTTTGACAAGTTCAGAATTGGGAATATGAGATTTGATTTCAGACCATTTGCTACTTTCCCAAAACAATAACGGATTAGAAACTGTGGAAAAGTGAGACACTCTTACATTTGGAACCCAAAACAAAGAGATTCAGAAAACAAGCAACACAAAGTCGATTTTCTTTTATGTTGTTGGTGATCATGGAAGATAGGATAAACAAAAGTATATTTTCTTCTCCAAACTCTCTGGCTTTTATAGAAATACTTACTATTGAAGCTCGATAGAAATTTCGGAGTTGAAGCGCGTTAACTTCAGCAATAACTGATTGACTGTGGAGGGAGACTTGGAAATTAACCAGGAAACTGCATCAACATGTCTGGGAAACTTCAAGGTGAGAGTGAATGAGATAATCGAACAACCTGCAACCATATCGCAGGTAGAGGCCAATCAGAATTCGACTTTTCTTAGAAAACATCTTTTCTTATATCCAATTAAATTGTGAAGGTAAGTTTCGGCGACAAAAGCATATAGACAAACGGAAGTTTTGAACCAATCAGCAATTAACGAATTAGACATTCCTTCCAGGCTTTTTTATTACAGCAACTTTAACTACGTTAAAAGTTTTTAGTACTGCTTATTTTAATAAAAATTTATATTTTTACACTAAAAAAATTAATTTTGGTACTATTTATTTTACCCTTTATTTTGTTCTTATCGTTAAAACTCAAAGTTTTCAAGCTATTTTCATTAGTTTTCCTTTTATTATAACCCGGGTAATATTGAATAGGGGTGTGATATTCACACACTTCATTTTACTTTTCATACACGCTTCTAATTTTTGACAGTCGGATCTGATGAATTGAAGAAAATCAACTGATAAAAATTAATAAGAGATATGTAAGAAGTGAAATGGGATGTGTGAATAGCACACCCCTATTGAATAGATATCACATTAAAATATAATATTGACAATTTCTATCTTATAGGGTTTAAAAGAAAAAAAAAATAGATTTATACTTATATACCTTACTATGCAACGACATTTTCGATCTTATAAGGTTTTTTCTTTTAAAAATAAAAGATTTTTAAATATACCTTAAATCACTTTTATCATATTATTTATCTTCCTAATTCTCAAAATCCCTCTCACCCTTTGTTTTAGGACAAAATCCTAACCAATTAATACAAGTAAGTCGATTGAGAAAAATTATTTTTAATAAATAAAACACGAAATCCATATTTCAAAAGCTTCATATTATGCAAGACTCCATGTTTTTCATTCTTTTAATGATTCAACAACATCAACATCCCTATTATAAAGTGACATATATGTCTTTTGGTAGAGAGTTTAGGAAAAGGATCATTTTCCTAGGAATTCGAAAG